AAAAAAAGAAAATTGCAGTATCACAGGTTGTTGTGCATGACGTTCACATCAAAATTATTTTAAATGTAATTACTAGTGCACTTCAATGTTTGGTCTATATTTTAAAGCATGTTATTCTGGTATTGTTTTCTACTCCTGTACTTAAAGTCAAACATTTATCTTTGTTCATAATTAACAAACATCGGTACACTTAGCATGCTGATTAAAATTACAACTACTTTGGAGCACAGTGTTACAGTCCAATGTGCAATTAACACATCAATCTTTGTGATAACAAAAGAAATTGTAGTTTTAAAATAGAATATTTAAATCAACATACTTCCAACAGAAAAGCTTTTGTAGCTTCATCAGTTACATCTTCAATTGTGACCTCCACCACATCAGACTTTGTTGTCCCAATCAGATGCTGGTAGAGTGTCTTGGAGAGGAAGGCAGGCCCTGGACCACCATGTACCAATGATGTGGCAATCATTCTGCCAGCAAGGAAATATTCATCCTCTCTTGCAGCTGGTAATGGATGTATTTAGTTAGTTATGCTAAAATAATGCTTTAAATTAAATGCCTTTTTATTTTAATAAACAATGAATCATCCAAGCTTAACTTCAGAATGTATTAATTTAATTTTATAGTCAGATGGTATAACTTTCTCACCAGCGCTGTCAAATGTAAGAAATTTGCTGTCCTCAGGTCCATCAAATATTCGTCGTGATCTAAGGCATTTCATTAATAATGTCAAAAATTCACGTTTAGGACCACCATTATCCATTCCATCTTCACGCTGTCCTGCATCATCGCTGAACTTCACAAGTATATCATCAGTTGGGTTGTAAGACACACGTCTAAAGCCCCGAGCTGCTCCGTCCCAAACATTTGCTCTGTTTATATTAAATCTGCTGACAGATGTTTTTATTGTCTTAGACGCCAGCTCTTCAAGTACTTCTGCAGCAGTCAGGCCATTTGTACTAGAACATAAAAAAATTATTTAATATCACATAAAATGAGGATGTTAATACTCACTTTTAGCATATTTACATTCTCACATTTAAATGTATACTTACCTTTGTGTTTCACTCTCATCCTTTTCGATGAGAACTTCTTTGTCTGAGTCACTATCAATTACAATCGGTGCATAAACACTTGTGTATGTGCTGCAATAAAAAACATTTAGTGGGCAAAGTAGAACATTTCTTAAAATCTAAAGTTAACTACGATTTTATTGGTCTAGTGTCTCAATACACAAATTTCTGTGTCCAAAACATACCTGTAGCAGGGACCTTGAGTCTAAATATCAAAAATATATGAACAGTTAATATATTTTATGTTTGTAGCCTGTATGACAATTATTAATGACATTTTTCAGAGTCTTACTTCAGAAGAAGTTTGCAAGTTTGACCCCCTGTAAAGAATTTAAATAATTTCAGAATTTACAATATAATACATAATAATGTATTTTGGCTCCTCACTATTCACGGTCGCCGCAGTGTATCCTCCACAATACAAAACTTACCTATTTCTTGAAGGTGCTCTTTCCGGGGTGCTGTGATTATCTGGAAAATCCCATACCTGATAAGTAGTAAAATAAGCTTAACAGCACTTTTTAAAACTTTAAACTTTTCTTGATTATATTGGTGTATACAAACACAGACACACACACACACACACACACACACACACACAAAACAATGGTAAAGAAAAAAAGACTAACCACAGTGTCCGACAGTGGGCTTTCTACTGCTTTTACTTGAACTTCATTGTCCTCTTCAGATTCACACTCTGTGTTGCAATCTGCAAATATTCAATGATTCAAAACATACAGTCTAATTTAAATATATGTATGTATTGAAAGCTATATCGAACAATTAGCAAACATATAGAACACTTTGGCTATAAAGCACAATTTAAATATATTTAAAATCTGTGGCAAAATCATGTCACTCTCTGATCAACATTTTTTTGAAAAATCTTGAATTATTTTTAATATCGAAAATTTATGATTGTCACTGCATTATCAGAATCACTAACCATTATTTAAGAAGTCATCATGGTTGCAAATGTAGAGAGTTACTCTTTGATAGGCCTTCCCTATGGCATCCTTGTATTTTTGGATGTTGAAAGGGGTGTTGGTTCCAGGAATTGTGTTAACTTCCCTTGCATCAGTGTTAAATAAAAAGGCATATAATTTAAAGCATTATTTTAGCATAACTAACTAAATACATCCATTACCAGCTGCAAGAGAGGATGAATATTTCCTTGCTGGCAGAATGATTGCCACATCATTGGTACATGGTGGTCCAGGGCCTGCCTTCCTCTCCAAGACACTCTACCAGCATCTGATTGGGACAACAAAGTCTGATGTGGTGGAGGTCACAATTGAAGATGTAACTGATGAAGCTACAAAAGCTTTTCTGTTGGAAGTATGTTGATTTAAATATTCTATTTTAAAACTACAATTTCTTTTGTTATCACAAAGATTGATGTGTTAATTGCACATTGGACTGTAACACTGTGCTCCAAAGTAGTTGTAATTTTAATCAGCATGCTAAGTGTACCGATGTTTGTTAATTATGAACAAAGATAAATGTTTGACTTTAAGTACAGGAGTAGAAAACAATACCAGAATAACATGCTTTAAAATATAGACCAAACATTGAAGTGCACTAGTAATTACATTTAAAATAATTTTGATGTGAACGTCATGCACAACAACCTGTGATACTGCAATTTTCTTTTTTTTTCTTATGTAAACACTAGATATGCTCATGGAAGCAACTGATAGGGTCCATGGGTGCATTGAAATGCATTGCAGTATTAGACCTGCAACATCTTGAGTAATATCTAAGTAACATAAAATATAAGAGTGTTTTGACTGTGGGAAATCTGATACCATGAATCACAAACAAACTCTTGGTTTCTTGATTACTGCACCAATTATTCCTTTTTTTTTCCTAATGTTAGCATAACTAACCTAGATAAATCCATCCCTACTTTCCCTGTCCTTTGCCCCACACGAGTGTTTATTTCTGCGATCCTGTGAAGGAAACTCCAGGGTAGTTTGTGCGCATTGCTCAGCGTGCTGTGACTTCAAAAGAGAACAATCGCATTTTCTATGACTTAGTTCGCAAGACAGCTGGCTTGCTGATGGATTTCCCCGGATCTCTTCAGTACATAATGCTGAGTAAAAAGTTTAACAAACACATCATTAAGGACTACCTTGAAGGTTGTTATACATCAGGTACTCACCAGCACATAAATACTATTTTCTTCGATTCAAGGCTCCCAAAAGTAACATATATGTTTGAGCTACAAATAAGTATTGGAGCCTTCAATCTCCCGCATACAAGCCCACCAAAATGGTGGCAAAGTGTAGCGAGGCGAGTATCACAATATGTTATATTAATAGTTTCTTTTTTCAACGAAAGATCTGTTTGTTTTCTCGTAAAACCCCAGTCGAGACATTAAACCGTAAGCAACACTATACTGAATTGATAACAGACCACAGCTACAGAAGTGGTCTGCCTATTTTTTTTCTAATAATTTGTATGTTTTTGCTTAATTTTACAGTTTTGCATCTTGCCTTTTTATTTATTGTTTCCATGGTTAATTATACTTGTGTTTGTTATACTAATGTTTGCAAAAAGGTTTTGAGTTATCATGCATGTGGTTTATTCAGTATAGAAAAAATCATGTGAAGCTGCAAGGACAGAGATCAAATTTCAAACTTTTGAACACTTATTCTATTAGAATTCTTGTTACTTATCAGTCCCCACATAAAACGGACAAAGCTGCAAACACTAGTTCAGCTAGTGACCATGTTTAGGCAGGTACTTTAAAAAATCCAGTGCAAATTTGATGTTTGTAGGTGGTTTGATCTTTTACATTATTGGTTTTATTGAGAATAAACCGTACTGTACTGGCTGAAAATGCATTTGCAACATTGTGGCTGAAGTAAGTTAAGCAGTCCTTGGTATCTGTTTTAACGGATTATTTGGTATTTTAGTGAAGATATAAAACGTACTCCCTGACAAGAAAAAATGCCATTGAAGCTATTATGGATTGAAAGAACTTAAGTCAGAGTTTGCCAACATTTCACTTAGACTAGAGAAATAGAAAATCAGAGTTAAAAATATAAAATCTCTAATAGAAAGGAATGAAGACCATGCAGGGGGAGGATGGATAAAACCAGAACCTGGGATTCCAGAGATCGCGGATACAATCGGGCTACGCACCTCCTTGAAGGATAAATAGTAAAAGAGCACCTAGCACAACGCACGCGTCCTTCTGCTGTGCCCACTTAGATAAGACTAGCCAGGTGGACAGGCTCTTAACCTTCACCCCTCCACCCCTAAGGGTCTGATATAGAGGGTTGACAATAGATGCTGGACGAGTACTGAATATATCCCCCCTTCCCTAGGGATTCCACTATATCCTAGCAAGGTATGTAAAATTGCTCAATTTGTGTGCTTCGTTGCGGCTCAGATAAAGTTTAAAGAAGTACAAACACATTCCAAAACTGGTCGTTTCTCTTATCACATCCGTTTTTTCGAATAAGATGCCAGCATTAGATGCTGAATGACAATGTGTTGCGCCTTTATAGGATTCGGCATTCTGACAAGAATAGGAGGCCTGCAACCAATACGCTTCCGCGTAATCCACCATTTGCCCGCCGCTGCTCCTGTGGGAAGCGGAGGGCAGTCCATCAGTGGTGCTCCCACCGTAAGACCACGCAAAGCCCAGCTAGACAATGTGAGCCTTTTAGAGGAGCGCCCCGGCGAGAATGGCTTTGCCCCAGAGACCCAAGTCGACTACGCTTGAGAATTATCTCTCCTACTGAGGCCTGGGGACGACAGTCCATTATAGCCTTGGGTAGACTACTCTTCCCCAAGACGGCCAAGGAAAGAACCCAGCCGGGGACAATCAAGCTGGAAGAGGTGGGGCTGGTGCGTTGAGATTCTGGCCGGAGAGGGAGGTCTGGAGACCCTAATCTGGCCCTCTTTGATTAGACACCGCCGTGAACTTAGGGCTTGCTTTGGCCCCGCGACGCCGACCCGGACAAAGCGATGATGAGCGTTATGGTATAATAAGCGAATAGGATAGGACATGTGTGTTAACTCGCACAAAACACAAAGTTAGCACTGACCAATATTTCCCCAGAGTAGAGCACTAAGGACCAAATAAAAGTGGCCAGTCCCATGGTTTCTTAAAAATCGCAGCCCTTGACAGTGGTGAAATGAATATTACTTTTTATATAGCTTTTTTAAGATTTCACCCACTGAAGGTGATATAACGTTCTGCTAGCTAGGAAGCAGAAGGCCACTAATCTTTTGAGGAATTTTCTAGGAGACAGATAGTATGACATCCCAACATCCTGGACTGTTAATTTTTTTTTTTTTTTTTTTTTTTTTTTGCATCGTTATAATCTCGCAATTGATTTAGGGGGGCGGAAATTTAACTCCTGAACACAATCCTCATTGCGCGATAGTGGTGATTGCAAAAGCTTATGTAAACACTAGATATCCAATGCTGCAACGCTGAAGGAACTCCATGGGTGCATTGAAATGCATTGCAGCTTATTGCAGACAGCTGGCTGCTATGGATTTCCGGACTCTTTAGATGGTAAAGACAACATCATTAAGGACTACCTTAGGTGGTACATCATATACCGCAACCACTTCTCAATCCAAAGGTAACATATTTGTAAGTATTTGGACTGATACAAAATAATGGGGCAATGTAGCTACACTATTTTAATAATAGTTTTTTAACAAAATTGTTTTTAAACCATAAGCAACACTATACTGAATTGATAACAGACCACAGCTACAGAAGTGGTCTGCCTGTTCTTTTGACCAAATTTTTTTTCGAATAATTTGTATGTTTTTGCTTAATTTTACAGTTTTGCATCTTCCCTTTTTATTTATTGTTTCCATGGTTAATTATACTTGTGTTTGTTATACTAATGTTTGCAAAAAGGTTTTGAGTTATCATGCATGTGGTTTACTCAGTATAGAAAAAATCATGTGAAGCTGCAAGGACAGAGATCAAATTTCAAACTTTTAAACACTTATTCTATTAGAATTCTTGTTACTTATCAGTCCCTGCATAAAACTGGACAAAGCTGCAAACACAAGTTCAGCCAGTGACCATGTTTAGGCAGGTACTTTAAAAAATGCAGTGCAAATTTGATGTTTGTAGGTGGTTTGATCTTTTACATTATTGGTTTTATTGAGAATAAACCGTACTGTACTGACTGAAAATGCATTTGCAACATTGTGGCTGAAGTAACTTAAGCTCCAGTTTGCAACATTCACTTGCTGATGAATAGAAATGCAGATGGTAAAATATAAATTCTGAAGGTGGCATGGTGGAGCAATGGATAAAACAGACTGGGATTCAGAAGGTAGCACGTTTGATGAGAGCCCACACACCAGGTGTGTCCTTGAGTAAGACAGCCAGCACTAACTCACTGCTCACCCCAAGGGTGATGGGTTAAATGCTGAGATCTAATTTCCCCCTAGGATCAATAAAGTATGTAAAATTCATTGTGCTTTCGGAATAATTAAAATAAAACATTCAAAAAGTGTTTTTCATGTTTTTATTGTAGTGCTGATGACAATTTTCCCCTTATAGATTTAAGGATGGCCTCGCAACACTTGGTGTAATCCATGCCCTGCAGCAGCATCCTTTGTTGTTCCAACCCTTCATGTGCTCAAGACCAGAGCCACTGACATCTGACTTTTTAGAGGACATGTTTGCAGTGGTCCTGAGCGAACCTGGCAGTTCAAGACGGCAGGAAGAAACCAGGGTGCTTGGATTCTGGCGAGACTATCTGATAGACGCTGAAGGTTTGTATAATACAAAACTTGTACTGCAAACAAATTACTACGATCAGTGCAAACCAATAAAGCAGCTCTTTCATGAATATTACTTTTATGATTTTTTTAAGTTTAAACTGTCAGGTGATATTTCTGCATAAACAGAAGCACTTTTTTGTTTTAGCAGTTGAATCTCCTCACATTCTTGTTAATTTTTTTTTTTTTTTTTTTTTTTTTTTTTGGGGGGGGCCAGATTTTTCATGAATTGCTGCCAGCAGTGCTATTGGGGAGCTACCTAGCATGACCTAAAC